CATTTACATAGCTATTTAATGTGATGGTCAACAGACATCTGACCAGCACAGGCCAGCCTACCCAACCATTGTCAATGGATTCTCCTCCGTGTTACCTCATTACTGCATCTACCGGGGCATTGAAGTTAGGGTGGGCAATGAGGTAGTGCATGCACTCTTGGAATGGAAGTGTGGCTGGAGAGCCAAAGCCCTTCATACTACCTCTGTGCAACTTCAGAGAAGGAAGTTGGTGATGTTCAATTCCTTTACTAGTGACATTACTCCGAATAGTTTTACTGCAGGTTTTGTTTACACTTCTTACTTTTTTCAAACATTTGTACTCTACACAATGGCAGCTCAGTGGCCTGTATTTGCTTTTAATATATTATTTGTTTGCACAATCTATTGGTGTGTAAATGCTAGGAAAACAGAAGAGACAGCGGGTTTATACCAAAGCTTTTCCTAAAGTCTAAAAGCTATAACTTATTTGTGTAATACAGGCAAGTCACGTTACTCCACATCACCGCATTTTACTATGCAAAGGAAGACATGGAACACATTTTCCCCGATTCTCTTGGACACAACCATGGTTATTCTTGGCGCACTTTCTGCTAGTCTTCAACCAGCACTGCTTTTATTCACTCCTGGTTAAAGGTCTCCCTCTTACCCTGTGTTCTGCAGTACACAGCATGCCTCCATCACACCCCCAGCAGCACTGTCATGTTCCATTCCAAAGCATTTCATATTGGTGTTCATAAGTCTCCCTTGTGATTGGCCATAGTGTAAGTGAGTGCTATCCTTTCTGGTTGACATTCATGTGCACTGTGGACTGCAATGGCTTTTCTCATCTACATGGCTTGGTACTGAAGGTTTGCTGCAAGATCCTCAGACAAATCCACAAAGACACCTTTCATTACATGCAAGTTCTCAAGTCATTTCTTCTCCTCAAGGTCTGGACCCTTCTATTTGGTCTTGATCCCAGCTTACTAGTCCAAATTAAAGGGATCCTAAAGCTTCTGGAATCTGCACCAGCTGTTTGCACATTGTCAGGTCTGCGTAATTTATGCTGTCTGCCTCTCTCTCAAGAAGACTAGTCACTGTTAAAATGCTTTACACTGTGCCCTGTGCTTTCCCCCCCATTGTAGAATAGGGTGTTGCATTAGCAGTGCTAGCAGCTGGAACAAACAGGTCATGGTTCTGAAATACATCTTTGCCATGGTACATCTAAAGTAGAGGCTGGACACAAAGAGGGAGCAGGCCGAGCAAGAAGTTTCAACTTGCCATTTTGCTGTGCTGAAAACTTTTCTGCACAGGACTTGTGAAAGACAAGTTTCCCACAATAGTATGTGGAAGAGGTTGTAGGAGGGCACAACTGAATACATCACTAAGATCATGGGATATGGATTCAGAACTCTGGCAGCGTATCCAGGATACTGAAGTACTTTTGTGGACATGGTCATTTGGATAAGAGTTGAATATTAGCTTAGCAGCTTGAATATTTGCATAGGGGCTTGGTTAACTTGGGTCCCCTGTTCAGGCATCTGGAGATAGGTATATTGTATAGTGAAGGTAGGAGAGGCATTACGGTCCCGGAGAGTAGGGGATCTAGGTGTCCAAGACAAGTGGTTGTTCATTAAGGAGAGTCCAAGGGGTGACAGGGGACTCCCAATGCGAGTCAAAGGAGGCAAGAGTGCTCAAAAAACCCCTTAGCTCACCAAAGGCATTCATGAATGCCTGAAAGCCAAAAAGGAGGAGTACATCCCGTGGAAGGGAGGGGCTATCACCAAAAAGGAATATACTTCCATCGCTCGAGTCTGTAGGGAGGCTGTTAGGAAGGCTAACGTGGAGACAGAACTAGGGCTAGCAACAAGGATCAAGGACAACAAAAAGTCCTTTTTTAAATATATAGGGAGTAAAAAGAAGGCACCAGGCAATGTGGGGCCCCTGCAGGATACACTTGGCAATCTGGTAGTACCAGATGAAAAAGCAGACCTTTTTAACAAATTCTTTGCCTCCAATTTTCTGAGCAGGGACCGGGACATCTTCCCCACTGGGATTCAGGATGGACTGAGAAGAGACTCTGCCAGGCCTAGGGTCAGGGAGGACTGAGTTAGGGAACTTTGGGAGGGTGTGGGCATGTTCAAATCAGCAGGTCCAGACGCTCTCCACACCAGGGAGCTGAGGGAATTGGCAGGGGCCATCACAGGGCCCCGGCATGGCTTTGAAAGCACTCATGGTGCTCTGGCCAGGTGCCAGAAGACTGGAAGAAGGCCAATGTGGTCCCCATTTTCAAAAAAGGGAGGGAGGACCCAGGTAACTATAGGCCTGTTAGTCTTACTTCGGTCCTGGGGAAGCTCTTTGAGAAGTTTATCCAGGAGCACATCTGTGAGAGACCAGCAGGGGGGATGATGCTCAAGGGCAATCAGCATGGGTTCATTAGGGGCACGTTCTGTCAGACCAACCTGATTGCCTTCTACGATCAGGTCACAATATCACTGGATGCAAGTGTCGCGGTGTTTCTGGACTTCAGGAAGGCCTTTGACACTGTCTGCCACCCCATTCTCATTAAAAAGCTAGGCAACTGTGGCATTGATGTCTACACAGTCAGATGGGCCGTAAATTGGCTAGAGGGCTGCACCCAGAGAGTGGTGGTGGATGGGTCATTTTCGACCTGGAGGGAGGTGGGTAGTGGAGTCCCCCAGGGCTCGGTCCTTGGGCCTGTACTGTTCAATTTCTTTTTTAGTGACTTGGATGAGGGGGTGAAAAGCACCCTGTTCAAATTTGTTGATGACACCAAAATTTGGGCTGAGGTGGGCATACTAGAAGGGAGTGACAGGATACAACTGGACCTGGACAGGTTACAGGGGTGGGCAAATGTGAATAGGATGGGATTCAATACTGACAAGTGCAGGGTACTGCACTTGGGCAGTAAGAACCAGCAGCATACCTATAGGCTGGGAAACTCCCTTCTCATCAGCACAGCGGCAGAAAGAGATCTTGGAGTCATTATCGATTCCAAAATGAACATGGGCCACCAATGTGAGGACGTGGTCAGTAAGGCTAACCGCACCTTGTCATGTATCCACAGATGCATCATGAGCAGGTCAAAGGAGGTGATCGTCTCCCTCTATGCGACGCTGGTCAGGCCACAGTTGGAGTACTGTATCCAGTTCTGGGCGCCACACTTCAGGGGGGATGTGGCCAGCATCAAGAGGGTCCAGAGGAGGGCCACTCACATGATCGAGGGCAGCAAGGCAGGCCCTACAAGGAGAGGCTAAGGGACATGGACCTGTTCAGCCTTCACAAGAGAAGGCTGAGAGGGGATCTAGTGGCCATCTATAAACTTACCAGGGGGGACCAGAGGGAAATGGGTGAGACCCTGTTTCCCTGAACACCTCCAGAAGTAACAAGGAGTAATAGCCACAAGTTAATTGAGAATAGGTTTAGGTTAGATATCAGGAGGCACTACTTCACAGTCAGGGTGGCCAGGATCTGGCACCAGCTTCCAAGGGAAGTGGTACTGGCTTCTACCTTAGGGGTCTTTAAAAGGAGGCTTGCTAATTACCTAGCTGGGGTCATATGAGCTTAAACTTACCAGGGGTCATATGAGCCCAGTATTCTTTCCTGTCCAGGGTTGGGGATCGGACTTGATGATCTGCTCAGGTCCCTTCTGACCTTACATCTATGAATCTATGAAACCTTAACTTAAGTTAACTCAAAAGGGCTAAATGTAGTTGATTTTTTCTGTATAGTGTGTGCTGATATTGTTTTATTGTCTTTTTCACAAACTATGCTAACAAAATAGCCTTGTTATATTACGCTAAACACAGGCTTTCAGATACAACCCGGTTATTGTGTCGTAATAGCCATCTCTGAAGTGAAGTTCCCATTTATAATATTATGAAGTACTGTATTTACACTAAATTACACAGAGAACCTAAACACATGAAACACTTTTCAGATTATTTTCTAGACTTCTAAGAGCTCTATGACCTACACTAGTCACAATACTATAATTTTATTAAGCACATAGGTCAAATAAAGCCTTGGATAGCTGTTATTTCTGAACAGCCTCAACTTGTAGAAGAGATAGACAGGGCACAATTTTAAAATATTCTAGTATTTAGACATGTGGAGGATGAGTTGGATCCTAAAAAGAAGGATACTATAGATGCATTTGATTCACAAACCCTATTAAAATAAGTTGGAGCATCCACTAACTGACAAGAAAACATGTCTGTTGAAGTCCAAAAGTGAATACCAGCTGAATTGATTTAGACAATCACTTGAGACAAAACTCTGCAGAAACACTATGAGCCCAGTTTAATGAAAATAGAATAAAACAATCAACCATGCAAGTAAGATATAGTTCAATTTTTCACATAACAGCTTAGCCTATATAAAATGTCGCACAGATCTAAATGGAATAATCAAACCCTCATTGCTGTTGCTGACAAAACATCTCTTAGAGCTGAATAAATCCACTGGAAAACAAAGTTTAAAAAAAAAAATCTGTGTATTGTGCTCTTCTGTTTGCTTCTTCTCTGATGAAACTAGTCCCTTATTGGATTCTATGTCTTTTTAATAAAACAGAAAACTATGTATATGATATTTGGAAGGACTTCACTTGATGCCTAGTGTAAATATAAATTTAAATAGGGCCTTTTATGTCACTTACTATATTGCAACATTCATCTCTCTAGTACTATTTGCATGAAGAAGTCAGTAGTTAACAGCTGTATGGTGCCATCTGACAACTCCAACTACACACTGTATCAACCTAATACATTTGTTTTGATAAAGATTTAAAACTTCCTGTTTTAGACCATACTTGTAAGCATACTAGAAAGATGAGGAGATTGGTAACCAGGGACCTACTCTCAACTCTGACTCTGCAACTTATCTAGGGAGACTTCACTGTGATACATTCCCTGACATTCAGCCTTTATTTTCTTTTTTGCTCAATTTTGTCTAATATTTAATATTGCTTAGCCTTTCGGCTCAGATCAAGTGTAGTTTACCTTATTGCAGGACCGTAGACAGTTCCGCCTTCTTCCAGGAGCACCCATCCTTCAAATATTTGTAATAAAGCCATTCTATTTGTGGACCAGTCCTACATTCTTGGTATACCCAGATCTCCTAATGAGAGAATGTGAGATTTAATGCATAATGAATGCATGATTGGGCTTTTGGCCTTGGCTGTTTAGCCAAGCAATTAAAGAATCACAGAAGTTCAAAAGACACATGCAAAAGTATCATAATCAGAAATGTAAATTAACCATAGTACCTTGAAGAGCTAATTAAAGGCCTAATAAATCCATGTACTGATTAATTAATTCCATTAGAACTCCAGAATAAGGAGGAGAAGCAGCTTTTCATTTGTGTGGAAAAATGCTTTTCAGGATACCTGGTGAGTCAGACCGACACTCAAATTTAGAAAATTACCTGACAAAAATAGAAACACAAATTATAACCTAAAAATATCTTACAGGGATGTGAAAGGATTGGCTTCAAGAAAAGCGACAGGCAAAAATCAATGAACGTTATCTTTTATTCTAAGTATTTGATTATTTTGCTATAGACAAGTAAGAACCTAAGACATCATGCTTGGTACTGTGCTGCACACTAGCCTTTTCAGAACTTTTGTAGTCGCAGAGGTGAACAGAGGACTACCATTCCTAAGATATTCTAGGCTCCTACCTCCCAACTTAAAGAAGGATCTAGCTGAAGTCAAGGGTACATGAGCTACTATAGCTGCTGCATGAAGTAGAGTAGTTTTTCTTCAGATTCTATCCAGTAGGTGGCAGTAATACACAAAACCAAGCTAGTTCATTACTAAAATGAATGTGTCATGTCATAATCTATATAAACTAGAAGACAACGTTATTTTATCATACAGCACAACTACCCATATCATACCGTTGACAGAAAAAAAAAAATCACAGTATAACATCATCTCTATACACAAATTTAATTACATATTATATCTAGGAAAAAAAAATCTTTTAACTCATAACATACTTGGGGAGGCACCACAAGCTTAAAAGAAAAAAAAACAAAGGAAAAAGTGACAGTCCTGTGCTGGCAGATGAAAACAAGATGACCTAACAGGTCTTTCCCACTGATCACTTTCCCATGCCACTGGCATGATGCTACCTTTTTCTGATCCTCTTCTTCATGCAAGACTACAGTGCAGTTTTTCAAAGTGACCTGTTACCTTGTGATGTAATAAACCGAGCAAAATGTGATTATCAACACCATGCAAGCATACTTCTTTCACATCTACCTGATAGGTGCTAAAGACATTGGGATTGGCCAATAAAGATGTATTTCACTATCTCAACAATTCCATTATTATCACTAAATAGCTAATCAGACTGGTTGTTTCATATTGCATATTGCAATCAGGCCAATTTGCTGATTTATGAAGCAAATATATACAACATAATTTTTGTTCCAACTCCAACATAAAATCTTAAAGACCTGCATTTCATCATGGTTTCTACTTCCTGTCCTTAGTTACTAGTAATAGCAGCAGCTAAATAAAGGCTTCTCACATAGCAACAATTTTATATTAGTTTTAGATATAAGAAGGCATTGTAAAAGAAGTAGAATACAAAAGCAGTAGAAAACAGTCTGCATTCAGCTTAACTCTTCCTTTGTCATTATTTAAGGGGAAAAATCTTTTTGAAGTTTAAACAGACTTTTACACAAAGGGAATGATGCTTGTAAAGGGCCTCAATTAAGTGTTGGAGGCATGTTTTTGCACCTACACACAATTGTACCAGAAACAGGAATGCCTGATGATATTCTAAAAAACTATGTTTAGTCCTGGATGGCACAAAATAATTAGGCAGAGTAGGTACATTCTGTGATTCAACATTGTACGATTTGTACAGGAGCCACATATGAAGCTATTTAGGGAAGGGAAAAAGGAAAGAAAGGGAAAAAACCAGACTATTACATTATCTCTGGGATTGATCTCTCCCTAGAGAATATACAACTTGGAAACTCTTTATTAGATATGCTATTAAAATTTCAGTGGTGATCTTAAAGGTTCTAGCTGGTAATGAGATATGAAGTAATTTAGTTGTAGGTCACATTTGACTCTTGCCTCAGTTGTTAGTGGCCATTTGATGACAGATTAATACCCTATGCCAAACTCCAGGTGGAGAAATGTGTCCAGCTGGCACAGCAGTCCACTGAGACTATTAGCAGAGAAACTAGACACTGAATAGTCATGGTTACTGGGGTAGCTTCCTTCACTTAGAGAAGGCCCTGCCAAGCATATGGACACACTGACTTGCTGTTACTGCCATTGCTAACCTATACTAGGAATGAATATAGAACTATACTTTCAAGGATTATAAGTATATTATTTTGCATAACTGAAGTTGTAATGCTCCCTGTTTTGTGATCTGGGTATTTTCACAAAGCTCCTAAGGCAGCTCATTTTTATTTAGATCAAACAATCTGTTGCTTTCTTCATCCCAGCATCAGTATCTGTCTAGCAAAGGCCTTAATTTCTTGCTGCAATAGGTTTTAGAGCAGGGAAGAGCAGAACCTTAATTCAGCAGGTGTAGAGGGCACTATACAAGATGCAATGAATAAACAAAGAGTTAGAAGTCTTTTATCAGCCTAAAATACTCCCTAGGATTGTGTCTGATAAAATAATAATAATAATTATAGTGATGGCTGAGGCTTGCCATCGAAAACCTGCAATTTTAAACAGCTGTGGCTCCCAAACTATGACAGAAACCAGCATGTACACATCTGCATTATTTTTTGTCTCTACTTTTTTTTTTTTGTAGAATACCATGGGTCAAATTCATCCTTGGGGTAATTCCACCAACTCTAATAATCTCTTATTCCCAAAAGGAGTTTCTCAAATAAAGGAATGTTGTATTTTTTCCATTAGGTGTCTTCAGTTTGTTTAGAAATATATAAAGTCTAAAGTAGCTGAATATACGATAACTTGTATTTTGAACAAACAATCATGGAACTATAGGTATGTGAGAAGTGTATTATTTCTGTAGAGCATGAAGCAGCTACCCAAAAGAATCAATTGCACATAGAATGAAACAGCAAATTATTTATTTAGGAGTGTAAGTAAGCATGCTTCTTTAAAGTTAGTAATGAGAATATTTTGAAATTTGAGGTAAATCATCAGTTCAACTTTTTCTTTATTGCATTTTGCAATCAAAATTTTTAAATTTTTAAATTTTGGAGAAAAAATTTAGAAGTCAAGAAATTTATTATTTCTACATTTTTTTGAAAAATCAAAATATTTTGTTTTGTCAAAGTGTTGTGGAACACTCTGTTCATTTTATATTAATATATCAGTTCAATAATAAACTTGATTTTCCATTATGGAGCATCAGCCTTATGGGGACTGTAGTTTGGAAAACACCCTCTTTCTTCTTTCTGGATCAGGCCCCTTTACCAGACTACATAAACCAGTTTCCCAAACTTTTGGTACTGGGGGCACACTTTTCTGGATTAAAAGTGGTAGCACTTGACTCTTATACCCCCAAAAAAGTGTGTGTGGGGTGTGTGTGTGTGGGGTATTTCCCAAAATATATATCATATTCCATTCCTCTGCGAGAGGAAATCATACCACTGCTGAGACATACTGGTAAAAAAAAATTATGTCAAATAAATCTATACCCATGGTTCTCAACCTTTTTAGCCTCAAAGCAGCCCTCCATAACTTTTCTGAATTTTGGAGCACCCTAGTTGCCAATTGCTGATAGATCTAAATTCAGAAAATATATGGAGGGTGTGTTGAGATTAAAAAGGTTGAATATTGTTGATCTAGCTGGTGCCAGTTAGGCTAAGTACAGACATTTAAGAAGCCCAAGGCTGAACTGATTTAATTTTTCCAGTTTAGTTTAAGCTGTGTAGATTGAACTGAAAAGGTAAGTGTACAGACATTCACTTTTGATTCCAGAAAATGCAGCCACATGCCTGCAAGAGCCCAGGCCAGAAGCTGGGGGAGGAGGGGAGGCGGGGGGGAAGGCAGGCACTAGAGCCCACCTCCCTTCTCTGCTGGAGAAGACAGCTTGAATCTGGAGGGGATCTGGGACAGAAGTTCAATAAACTGATTTGACTAAATCAGTAAAGTCTGATACTACATCCATCCAGGTTCATCTTAAAACACATTTTGGCCATTTTGAAAGTGGTTTATGTGCACTGAACTTCTGTTGTGTTACAGATTTGAACCAGTTTCCAATCACTTATACCCAATGTATATGTAATTTCTGCCCCTAGCCAAAAAGCCAGCAGAGGCAGGACTTTACCATGCTGAGCACAACTCTTTCCACTGTCAACCTCCTCATGTCCCCTGGTCTGTATCTTAGGGGGCCAGGGCAGTTTCCTTGCTGAGACTGCTCTTTCAGTTTCATATGCTAGTGACTACCCCCATTGGACCTCTTGCCAGCCCCAGGAGCATGGCAGGAGTGGAGTGGGCAAGCCAAGTTGCAAAACATGGCTCTGTCTGCGTGTCCAATGGCTTGCCTACTCAGAGCAGAGCATGATGCTGGGAGTGTGGAAGGGGTCAGCACAGGGGCTGTATATGGGTAGGGAAGGGTAGAGGAAGGCAACAGCAGAAGTGGCAGTCCTCAAAGGATCAGCCACAGGCACTACTGGCATACAGCTGGGGCAGGCTGGGTACTGGACAGGGAAGAGAGCATTTGCTTTCTCACACAGGAGGATCTTACAGCACTCATGTCATTCTCATGGCACATTCCTTTAGGGATCAATGATATAACCTATGAAGAGATTCAGTTCACTGCCTAAATAACAAAAAAAAAATCCCCAAAACTAACAACAAAATTTTTTTGTTGTGGGGGGAGGGGTGGTCAACCCAGGACTTTTTATTCAGGTTTTAAATTTTAGGCAAATTTCAAAATGTTTTGTTTTAAAAGTGCTAACATTTCCATTATTTTAATTTGGCTCAAAAAAACTGTCACATTCACCCCCCTCTCCCAAACAAACCAATATTTTTTGCTAGACCAGCAACTGGATATTTTGGCTAATAAGCTACTTGTGTAATGCATTTATTTGTGTTCCAGTGCCATGATGCACTACACAGAAATTGTCAGAAAGAAATCTGCATTGCATTATGGGAGATGTA